AAAAATAAAATTTCATGATGATGATGGCAAGTCGTAGCAATTCGGTTGCTGCATGTGAGCGCGGGCGGCCCGTGTTGCTGGTGTTGCGACATGAAGTTGCTGGACGAAATTGTTCCCTCTGAAGCGGGCTTTAGGAAACTGAATTAGAGGGCCGTGGAGCTCCGGGTGCAAGCCCACCTGGAAACATTTTTTTTCTTTTTTGCCTTTTTTAGTATTTAAAATGATATATATATATACATATATACTTTTTTTAAGTTTTAACGTGTAGATGCATAATTTACACACTAATACATTTTCAGAAGTGCTTTTATTCACACTCTGTGGCTTTCTAGTGCTTGCAATAGCTTCTCGGTGAGCTAATGCCACCTCTGCAAAGGGAGAGGGATCTTCCCGTGCTTTGCAGGCTGTAAAGCTGTGGCTTGCACAGCTCTAGTGTGTCACACCTCGCTCAGTGGCTCCCTCGCGAAGCATAGGTGCTGCATGAGTCGTGCCACACCGTAAGCCCCTATACGGTCGGGTGACAAACCTGGGACCATTTGTCACTGTACTCAGCTATGGTATGGTGGCATGGTCGGGGCATGAAGAAGGGGTACAGCTTGGAAATGCTGATCTTCATGACATTTTAAACACATTTTTTATTACTTTTGTGTCGAGTTGTCAGCATTCTAAAGGTGAGAAAGCAAGCAGCAGCGACAGCAAGAAAAGAAAAATTTAAGACCGCTTTCACTAAGAATCAATTACGAGCACTAGAAAGGCATGGAGTGTAATTAAAACGCTTCTAAAGGTGAATTAGAGTATAAATTAGGTACTTGTGCCTCAAAAATACAAAAAAACAATGTAAATATAGTTATAAGGAAAAAAATATACACCAGGAGCACTTAAACCAAAACTACAGTCTGTAAGTTTGAAATTTGACACCTTAAACCACTTGGCCACCACCCAATTTTATTTCCAGGTCGTTCATCGAGGTATATGAATTTTGTTTTCAGCTGTCGGCTGCAAGAGCGATTGCCTCATTTTCATTTACTTTACTATTCCCACCAAATATGACAAGTGATAAAGAATAGAACCTCATTTCGTTGGCGGAGGCACTGTGCTTGCATCAAGGCAAACTAGCCTGTCTTGCTGGGTTCATATTTTGTTTCATCACCTGTTTAGGATTCTGTTGTCGGTCATCAAAAGAAGAAAAAAAGAAACGGACTAATTCTGACTTATTCTGGTGTGCAGGTACCCTTGGCAGTAAACTCTGCTAAATGGGGCAAAATATAGATACTTTTTTTAGCAAATATGCATTGTTTTAGCAAAATGAGCTTCATTATTTGACTAACTTGAAACAGAACGAGCCTCTCCACTTGGGACTTTTTTCATCTCTCGCACACACTATTTCCTGCTTTGTGTGGTTTGTATCAGACGTTTGTATTCTGTTCGGCCAAAGCATCTGTGTTAGACTAATCTTTAGGATATGTGCAGCAATTCTTGGCAGCAAGTGGCAGCCAATCAGGAACACGAGTTTGTTTTCGGACACCAAAAGCAAGTATTTTCAAGGCGAGCTATTGCCCGCCTATATGAGTTTCAGCATTCATCAAGGAGTGCAAAATCAAAGCCCGGGGGTTGGCCATTGCAAAAATGTTGACTCAGAAGCGCATGGGGAGGAAGCTTGATAAATGTATCCACCTGCTTCTACAAGACAAACCAAAACTAAGAATGTGGGTTCAATTTGAAAAAAAAAAAAAACATTGTCAGCCCGAATTAACTCGGGGGCGGCACGGAGCAAACAAGCCACGGTACGAGTTTGCTTGGTTCAGGCGTTTGTAGGGGTGGTAGATGACTCGGTGTTTTCTAAAAAAAATATATTTTTTTCTAAAAGTGCGGTGGTCGAATATTCAGGGATGGGCATTGAGTCGGGATGTTAAGGTAAAAATTTCATCCACATGCCGGGATTCATGTGCCTTGTCCCCCTAGCGAGGGGTACAAGGCCTTCAAAATTTTGGGTTCGCAAAAGGGGTGCGTCAGTATTGACGTGTCATTTTACATCATGCGTCTCAATTTAAAACGCACTATAAATGACATGCCTGAGATTCGTTTGGGTGTACTTCCTCTCAGCAAGTATATGGTTCTGTCTCAAAAAGGTCTAATCTGATGTTGACCGCTCCTCAGGTGTCCACCGACAATTCATCAGGACGAGACCCAACCGGGACACTAGGGAGGAACGGCTTAAGCAATTGAGGCTACATATACGACAGCTTCTTGCGGACAAGAAATGAAAATAGATAGATGGTGGGTGTTTCATTTGCTATGCCTTTTGGCGTGCATATTATGTTTTTTATGTTTCAAGATTCCTGCAGAGTTCGGTTTCAACTATTGTAAAATACCGAGCATGCGCGCAGGTCGCAGAAGCGCCTACCCTCTGATTCGGAACGATCCGCAAATAAGCAAAGGGCATACCAGACACCCATCCACCTGTTTTGAGCCGTGCTCAAAATATTTAAAGAGCACATCAAGCGCCAGGTGCTGTGGCGTCTTTGCCACAATAGCGCCAGTCGCAGAGCTGACAGATCCGTGACTGGCGCAAGCCATGGCATGGCCTTTGGGAACCAGGGAATCGAGATTAAAGAAGTAGCGCAGAAATTGGAGGCGAGTGGTGAAGGTGAGCAGAGTTAACAGAAAACAAGGACGAAGGGAGTTCCGTCGCATTAGGCATCTGTGTCCCGTGCATGTAATTTTGCGTGTGCTGTAGGTGGCTACTCAAAAAAATTGTTACTTGGACGTAACTAATCGCAAATCTCTCTTGCAGTTTCCATGGCCCACAAGCCAGCCGGCGCCAGCTCGTTCTCGTTCAAAGGTGAGGATTCTAGATTTTCTAGATTGCTCTGAAGCAGCAATACTGAAGCCAGACAAGCGGTACGGCATATTTAATTGACAGAGCGACTGGGGACGCTTTCACTGAAGCTTGTTTTGCTGCAATACACGTGTGTATTGCAGCAAAACAAGCTTCAGTGATAGCGTCCCTACTCGTTCTGAGCTCCGTCAATTAAAGGTGCCGTACCGCTTGTCTGTCTGGCTTCAGTGTTGCTGTAGGCGACAAACCGTGTGCCCAGTTTTGTCACAAAAGGCATATTATGTCACGCACATGTAATTTTGGATTTATCCGGCTTAGTGTGCTGTAGGTGGCTGGTCAAAGAAATTGATACTTGGACGCAGCTAATCGCAAATCTTTCTGGCAGTTTCCACAGCCTAAGAGCCAGCAGGTCCCAGTTTGCTTTTCTTCAAAGGTGAGAATTCTAGATTCCCGAAGCAGGAATACTGAAGCCATACGACCGGTACAGCATTTTTAATTGACGGAGCTCAGAACGACTGGGAGCTCCTGCATTGAAGCTTATTTTTCTGTAATACAAGCGGGCGACATTAACACGTGCCCAGTTACGTCGCAAGAGGATATCTATGTCCCGCGCATGTAATTTTGAATCTTTCAGACTTAGTGTACTTTACGTGGCTACTCAAAGTAACTGCTACTTGGACGCAACTAGCCGCAGATCTCTCTTCCAGTTTCCACGACCTACAAGCAAGCAAGCACCAGTTCGTTTTTCCTAAAAGGTGAGCATTCCAGATACTCTAGTTAGGTGCGAAGCAGGAATAGTGAAGCCAGACGAGCGGATACGTATCTTTAATTGACCGAGCTCAGAATGACATGTGGCAGTGGCATTGAAGCTTATTTTTCCACAATCATACGCAGACATAATTTTGAATCTATCCAGCTTGGTGAAGGATTGCTACTTGTCGCAAACTAATTAAAATTTTTATTTTGCAGTTTCTATATGGCTACAGCTAGCAGGTGCTGTTTTCATTAAGGTGAAGATTTCACATTCTCTTTTCAAACATCACGTTTTTGAATGAGAGTCCTAAACAATTAACTTTCTTTTGCAGTAAATGCCAGATCCTCCAGTTCAGGAATATGTTAAATATATTTGGTATGGATAGGTCCAGTGTTTTGCTTCTTTATTCACAATTTGACAACAGCAACATTTTTTTTTATTTATCACTCAGTAATACACACGAGAAGAGACTGCGTTGCAGAGAAATGTTGCGCTGAACGTGATATTCCAACTCGTATATAGTTTTATTGGTAGCCGATATAATATATTGGATTCCAATATCCATGATATGCTGAGTATATTAGAATCGTTAACCCTTATTGGATCTCCATATGACACATGGGGTCCAATAAGGGTTTATACGGTATTGGATTCCAATATTTTCAGCGTATTATGGATATTGGAATCCCATAACAAATCCTTATTGTAATACAATACAATAAGTGTAATGTTTTCCAATAACTGTCTATATTGTATTGCAATACAATAAAAATATATTGTTTACCAATATCCATAATACGCTGTTCATATTGGGGTTTTCCAATAAGGATAGCATTATTTTATTGAGAAAGAAGAAACACCTCCCAAAAGTAGGGTCCTTTTTCAAAGCCTTCACTTTGCAATGCCCTGTACAAGAAGTGACCGAGATCCAGTTTCATGAAACTAATTCACACCTTTTATATATTTTTCTTCAGATGAGGCCATTGATAACTATAGAAATCGTTCACACACTAAAACTGAGGGCAAACTACTGTGAAAAAGAGCTATCATATTACGAACTAGTGATCCGAGAAAACATCCTGCAACCATCGGTCATTGGGAACTTTATTTACTTTACTGTACGGCACTATAGGCTCCTCTTTCGGAAAGAAGACGAAGACGAGTGAAAGTCAACAAGGGAGTCCACCGAGCTCCGCGATTTTTCTCCTTTTTCATCGAAAGCTCACCACGGATCCTCTACATTTGTGCCAGGGAGGTACATAAGACCACCCGGCACTGGGCGGCCACCCAGCGGCCCATGCGAAGACTCCACAGTCGTGTTTTGACATCGACCGCTCACGGTCAGAGGCATATCTTCAAGCAAGGACGCTGCGTCCGTCCTCGCCCGAGACCACCAAACCCTGCAGAATGGACACTCAAGAGACTCCGTCGGAACAGGAGTGGCGATTGGTCGGACCCGACCAACGCCTGAAAGATAACATCACAGTCGTAATGAAGTTCACTGACGGCACGGCCCTGGGGACCCTCCCGCCTGATACAATCGGCAGTAGCGTTCTCCAAGCAGCCGGCCTCAACTCGGCTGAAAGAAAAGACACCTTTATCAAGATAAGAACGATCCAAAATCTTATCGCGATAGACACCTACCGCCAGTCGGCAGCGGAGAAGATTCTCCGTCTCCAAGAAATCCAGATGCATGGTCAAACGCGCAGCTTGATCGTCTATCAAGCCAGTGGAAAAGACACAATCAAGGGAGTCATCAATGGTATCCAAGTGTCTGTCCCAGACGAAATAATCCAACGCTCACTGGAGGTCCAGGGAGCCAAGATCCTCCAAGCGCGAAGAATCGCATCGTCAAAAACTATTTTGATAACCCTGGAGGGCAACCGCCTTCCCCGATATGCTCTTTACGGTAGGGTAGTCATGAGACTATACCCCTACCGACCCAGAAGCCTTTTCTGTCACATCTGCGCCGTCATAGGCCACCGAGCAGATGTATGCCCCAACAAACCCCATTTCACCACCTGTCTTAACTGCGGAACCAAGCACCCACCGGGATCATCGGGAAACACGCCCCACAACTGCGAGATTCAGTGTCAAAACTGTGGAGGGGAACATCCAGCTAACTACCCCCAATGCCCAGCACGTCAAGAGGCAGACCACGCTCGAAGGGAGGAAGAGCGCAACAGGAAGTGGCGCCAACAAGCCCCACCTAAGAAAGACCCTCAAACACACACTAGAGGAAGATCGCGGAACCGTGACAGGTCATAGAGGAGACGCAGCAAGAGCGCAACGGGAATCCAGTGGCCAAGCCTACCAACAAACAACAGGTACTGGAGCCTCCGTAGCCCGGACACGACAAGGAGCAAAAGCAAGGGCCCTAAAAAACAAGACGACAGCCGCCCACGCAAACAAGCAGAGACTTACGCCAAGGACCGACAAGTCCCCCCGAGAGATTCGTCAACCACACAGAGGTCGCAGATCCACCCATGGAACGGGCGGAGCTGGAGGGTGAGTGGGCAACTTCCTGTCCCAGCCGCTGACGTCACCCCTAGCCAAGAAACACCAGCACCCATGTTAAGCCCTGAAACGCACTATAACCTAGCACTGGAAGCAGCTAAAGGGGCTCCTTCTCAAGTCAACCTTATCAAAGCAATGAAAGCAGGCATAGGAAAAACTCAGGAAACCAAAACTCCCGCAACACAGGGCGAGATAATGACAGAGATTCTCAACAGATTAGACCTTTTCCAAAAAGAGCTACAACAAAGAGATGAGATATTTCATCAAGAGCTTCAGAAGAGAGATATCCTTTTGCAGAGTATGCAACAAGAATTCCAAAAACGAGACATTATCCTAGCAGAGAAATTCGCCAGTCTAGCGGCAGGACAAACACAACTCGAAAAGTCATATAGCAGGCTCGAATCAATCCTTAACTCGCTTAGAAAAAATCCATCAAACCCGGATACAGACTCGGTAGAGAGTCCCTGCAAAGTAACTATCCCTGAAGTCAGCACCCAGAGTACACAACAACTATGCGATATGAATAATCTCAACCAGCCAAAGAAAAGCAACCCTAAGAGCAAGCTATCAATATGGCAGTGGAATTGTCGAGGACTACGAAAGAAAAACGGCTTACTCAAACAATACATTCAACAAACAACAAAAGCACCTGATATCATTCTAATACAGGAGAGCAATGGGTTAATCAGCATACCGGGTTACAACTTATTCAGTCAGCCTAGCATACAAAGTGTCAAAGGAAACAACCCAGGTAACACTGCTCCTCAAGGAAAAGTCGCTACATATATACATAAGCGCCTAGACGCTATCCAAATGAACACCACAAACCTAAACACACAAGAGCAAGAATACGTCGCTACCAAGATTAAAATCACAGATTCAGAGCTTGTAATACTAAACGCATACTGGCTTCCTAATAAGGCACACAAGAAATGGAATGACCTAGACAGATTCATTCGCGAAAATAACAGGCACCCCTTACTTATAGCGGGGGACTTTAACAGTCCTCATGCCTGTTGGGGATACGCCTACACCTCGCCCAATGGCAGGAAGCTCGAATCAGTCATGTCTAATAGGCAATTAACCCTCATGAACGACACCACATCTGCCACACGACAAGGTAACAGCATAGAAAGAGATACCATTCCAGATTCAGCTTGGCTTAAAGGAAAACTCAACTGCGAATGGGAGAACCTCTTAGAAAATTTAGGTAGTGATCACTACATTCTGAACATAACCATTCAAATCCGTAGAAGAAGTAGAAAAAATTTTAAAGGTACGAAAATAAAAATTACCAAATGGGATCAAATGAGAAAAGAACTAAGAGAATCTTTGGAGAAAGAACCACACATGAACTGGCACCAAGGACTAAATTTCATACGTAATAGCTATAAGTATAACACGAAAGACGTCCTGAGCAACGAGGACGCGCCATATGTCGATTCTCATCTTCTAAATTTATGGGATAAAAGAAATAAACTCTGCAAAAAACAAAAAAAACAAAACAAAAAAAAACAAATAGAGGCCTGAAAAAAGCCGTCCAGATAATGGCGGAGGAAGCCTACGAATACGCGAACAAGCTAGCAAATGAAAATTGGCTAGCAACATGCGATCAACTAAATGGCCAACTGCATACTCGTAAAGTATGGCAGATTCTTAGAACGCTACTAGGACAGCCTAAAACAAGGCATACTACAACTAAACTATGTCTTCACTATCAGAAAGAACCCAATGAAATAGCTGAAAAATTCGCAAACAAATTTTATCCTATCCAAAATGGTGCACCATCCTCGGCAGTCGAAACAGAGGATAATTGCGACGAAGATGCTGAGGGTATCAATTCACCATTTTTGGAAGAGGAGCTACGGGCAGCCTTAAACAGCTTCAAACGCAACACCACCCCTGGAGAGGACGGTATAACGTATGGGATGTTAAAAAATCTACCAGATGAATATCTGGATCTCCTACTTGAGGAAATCAACAGGGTCTGGAACGAGGGCAGTTTACCGCATCAATGGAAAGAGGCACTAATCATTCCTATCCCAAAACCAGGGAAACAGCCCAACTCTATTGACAACTTTAGACCGATATCCCTAACATCGTGCGTAGGAAAAGTAATGGAAAAGATGGTTTTCAGAAGACTGGAATGGCACATGGAAAGCCAGAATATCCTCCCAGAAACCATGATAGGATTCAGGAAACATGTCAGCACGCAAGATGCAATGTTACGACTTAAACAACAAATTTTCGATAATCCAAGTTCGGCGCAACTAAGGACGGTCGCAGGGATTGATATGAGCAAAGCGTTCGACGGGGTCTTGCACACCACCATACTAAACAATCTAAAAGAAATTTATCCCGGTCGAAAAATATATAACTACATTAAAGATTTTCTCTCGAACAGGAAGGCCAAGATTAAGCTGGACGACTTTACCTCAGACAGCCACCCTATCACAAGGGGAACCACGCAGGGCTCTATACTCTCACCAACACTCTTTAACATAGTAATGAAAAACCTACCTAAACAGCTAAACCTGATACAAGGACTAGAACACAGCATATACGCAGATGATATCACAGTATGGACGACAACAGGGTCTCCTGGAGAACAAGAAGAAAGAATGCAGAAGGGCATAGATACTATCCAAGACTATGCATCCTCCATTGGACTAACTTGCTCAGCCGAAAAGTCTGAATACGTCGTGATTACCCAGGACACAACCAGTAGAGCATCTGAGTACAGGGGAATGATAAACCTAACGATAGATGGGAAACCATTACCTCGGAGAAATTCTTTAAGAATACTCGGATACCTACTACAAAATGACGGAAAATTCAATCTTACCATAAATAAGCTAACAAAACAAATAGAGCAAATTCTTGCCATGTTACGGAGAATTACCAGACAAAAGAGGGGCATGAAAGAACACGAACTGCGTAAAGTTATCGAAGTGCTAATATACTCCAGAGTAATGTACCACATGCCATACATTAAACTAACTAAAACACAGCACGCCAAACTAGAAACAGCACTCCGAAAGGCCACCCGATTGTCGCTCGGGGTACCCAGATACGCAGCCAACCATAAAGTGGAAGCCACAGGACTCTTTAACTCATTAAATGATAGAGTAGATATGCACAAACTAGGGCAAGCACAAAGGCTAAAAACCTCAACCCAAGGCAGGAAAATCCTTCAAAACCTCGGCTACGATGTAGCAAACCTTCACTCCATCCCCTTGGAAGCTCCCCCTTGGGACCAACTCCCCAGAATTATAGTTGACTCAATCCCTAAGAATATGCATCAAACAAGAGATATAGAGAGAAGAATAGATAGGGTCAAACGCCTCCAGAACGAGGAGGAACACTCAAATGCAGTATTTTACTATACAGACGCCAGCTACAGCACAGAGCACTGCACTATTGCGATATGGAGCCGGAATAAAACACTGACCCGCAAGTATCAGGGAGCCCCAACGCCCATGCACGCCGAGTTGCTAGCCATAGCAACAGCCATAACTGAACTCATGAAATATGAAAAAGAATCTATAATTAGAACCGATAGCCAAGATGCCTACAGAGCTATCCTGAATAACGATTTACCTACATACATTCACAACACTCTACAACGACACATGCATAGCTACCCGCTTCTAAACATCAAGATCCAATGGGTTCCACGACATCAGGGACTGAGAGGGAATAGCCGAGCTCACGAGCTCACCCGCGAACCACATCCGGGACCCCCTCTACCCTGGCCTGAAGAGTGTGAATATGAACCAAAAGTGGAAAGGAAAACTACATAAAGCTAGAAAAGAAATCCTTAAGGACAGGCGAAGAATCTCCTCTTTTCTACCCTCACCATCATATATACATTCAAGAGAAGAGGCAACCCTCATTAGAAAAGCACAAACACACACTTTACTCACCGAGCAGTATATTCATTACTTCGCCAATGCTCCAGGACACCCCAGCTGCTCCCACTGGGGTGGATACCCCTCGAGCCAGCATACAATCCGGGACTGCCCAGCAGCCCACCAGAGTCGACATGAATCCCTCTCCCAGTTACCCCACGACCTCACTCCAAGCGGCTGGGACGAATGGTCCTCCCCCCCTCCAGAACTCCAGAAGTTGTGGTGGCCATCCCTCGTTTATCACATTCAAACTATGATGGGTGACGGAGACCAGCACCGCTACATAGGCCCGGACCTGGGCTAAGATCGAAGAGCTTCCACTCTTCGGTTAAAATAAAGTTTCTCTCTCTCTCTCTCTCTCTCCTCTTTCTTACCCTCTATCTCCATCTATCTCTCTTATATATATCCCTGACTTATATCTAAAATAAATACATATTTAAGCATCGCCTTTCTGCGTGATAGTGTTCTGTGGCAAGCAACAATCATTTCCACGCGAAGATCACGATTATGTCGCAATAGTTGACAGAAGTAGCAGGCGACACTCGTCGGTAGTTCTGGCAAAACGGCCGATACAATCTTTTTTTTTTTGCATTTCCCCGTTTTCTGTCAAGGATAAGAGGGTTCGCTTCAACCAGCAAAATATGGCCGCCGATGCCTGCTTACTGAGCATTCGTGCCTATCGCCATTCCACTTCGTGGGCGATAATATCAGGCACATAGAGGCACACGGTCAGAGAGCAGAACCCCCAAATACTCGAGCCCCGCCTAAATACAATAGAGCGTAAACACCGTTGCTATGTTAACCTAGGAAATGTTAACATGACGACAGGGCTTACGTTTT